GAAACCTAAAGCTACATATATAATAGCAAACACTCCGTAGAGTTTGTTAGCTAATATACTTATATGATATAAACATAGTATTGAGCTTTGAAGGAAACCTTAAGCTACATATATAATAGCAAAAACTCCGTAGAGTTTGTTAGCTAATATACTTATATGATATAAACATAGTATTGAGCTTAAGATTTGAAGGAAAACTTAAGCTACATATATAATAGCAAAAAAACTCTGTAGAGTTTGTTAGCTAATACAAGTTATAATGTAACCATAAAGCTTAAATTATGATGAAACTTAAGCCAAATATATAATAGCAAAAAACTCTTTTAGAGTTTTGATAGCTAATATACCTATATGATATAAACATAGTATTGCGCTTAAGATATGAATAAGCTTAAGTTACATATATAATAGCAAAAAACTCCGTAGAGTTTGTTAGCTAATACATGTTATAATGTAACCATATTGCTTAAGATATGATGAGACTTAAGCCAATTAGCAAAAACTCTTTAGAGTTTGTTAGCTAATATACTGATATGATATAAACCCCAAACTCTGTAGAGTTTGTTAGCTTATATATTTTTACAATCTGAGTATAGTACTATGCTGAAGATATAATTAAGTTAAGGTAAATATATAATAACCAACTCTGTAGAGTTGTTAACTTATATATTGTATGATGTAATAATCATAGTACTGTGATGATAAAAAGAACTTAAGCAAATTATATATAGCATGTAGCTATTTAGTACTGTTATAAGATAAGTAAAAATCTGTAAGATTGACTTATCTTCTCCGAGGAACTGTCAACTGTTGTGCGAGGACCATGGGATCGAATTGGTGGATACCTGAGACGTCCTCGGTGATGATATCTCTCAGATAATGGTTGGCAACCACCATATCGGATCTCCAGAAAATAAAGCCTCCATTATTTCAAATAATATTGTGTAGATCAATTGTAGAAGTTAGCGCTCTAATATCATGAGTATTAAAAGCTCATGGAGGGTCGGATTGGGTCCATCCGTCTTGTATGCACGTAGTATGACAGTTCTGATCCAAACGGAGATATAGTACGTGAGATTTCATTTTGCGTAAGTTGATGATAGAGGAAATAATCTGTTGTATTATTCCCTTCTGTTTGGTTCGGTGGAGATAAATTTACAGTGTTCTTGCTGGCCATCGTGATAGAATCATCGTATCATGGAGTCCAAGTATGTCATCCAGGCGTGTTCATAAACCTCACTTGTGAGGTGTTGGAGCACTATATTCAGATCCCCAAGTTGGAGGGTGAAACTTCCGTTTTAATTCTCCAATCAGAAAGTTTAAGTAGGTTTACTAACCATCTAGTTGTGTTAGTAGCTTGATTATGAAATTCAGCTGTAGTCTGAGACGCTGTGGATTTAGATCCACTTGTATCCCGTCGTCTAGGTTATTCGCTGCGAAGTCCTTGACGATGTAGGTGCATAACCAGGTGTGTCTGTCCTCGTTGAACTTTATGTAAAATTGCCTGACTGCCGTGCCCTCGTCCTAACTTGACAGGGGAGGCCTCTAACCTGAAGAAAGCAGCCCAATCATGAAGGTTCAGATTAACTGGACTGTAAGGAGGCTTGCTCGTTCACTGATATATAGTTGTCACTTGTAACGTAAGTCTTGAACTGTGAACTAAGATCGACCTCTGCGTAGGTCGTTGTCCAACGCGGTCCAATCAGAACAAGGCATTTTGATTCTGTAGAATACCCGCGCTGTGATGTCACCGGTGTAGCAGGAAAAAACCTTGTATAAAATCTTGCCGTCGTTGATATTAGCATAATCGTCGGTCTTCACCGTAGCTTCCCGAAGTTACCCGAGTGACCACGTGTTTCGAGGGTTAAGGTAAACGCGCGAAACCTCCGGCGCGAAATACCTCGCTCTGTAATATTAATGCTGGGTAGGTTATTTTCCTGGCTGTCGTGAATGTAATTTCAGTTTTGAATATAATTCCGACTTCCTTATATAAAGGTACAATAAACTTGCAAGTTGTCAGCTTGTAGACTGTATACATGAATGTATCGTCATAATTGTAGAATTAAAGCTGAACCTGTACATATTTCTTCTCAGAAACTTTGACGATTATGAGTTATACTCGCTGTAACAAGGCTGCTGTTCAATTTCGATATTGAATTGTCTGCAGATCTGCGTAATGGTCACGCATGTAGATAATCGTATCGTAGTCCGGGATTGCATATTCTAGCAATCTATACGGAAAAGTTGATTTCTGTGAAGATCTCTGCAACGTCGTTGATTAATTAATATAGCGACGTTCTGTGTTGTAAATAGCCTGTGCAATTGTCTTCGCGTAGGCTTATAGACGGCATATGGCATACAGTTGATAGACAACTTATGCGATGTCTTGAACGGACTGACGAGTAGCTATATATGACGAGTGGCTAATATATGGAGACCTTGGAGGAGAATTCCTCGGTGGACGCCGGAGACTTCGCGAAGCTCTCGAAGTATCCATTCTAGATTTCCTGTGTGAGGTAGACTTGGAGCCACTTAGCCTTCGCGACCTTCGCGAAGGTATCGAGTCAGAGCCCGATCAGTATATATATAATATATGAGCGCTTGCTTCGCAAACGACCTCTGTGTTCAACAGGAGTGAGTGAGTGTTTTGTTTTACGCCGCACTCAGCAATATGTGGGGTCGGTGAAGCGCTACTCCTCCGTGACGTCCCTTGTAACTGGTGAGGCTCTAGCTCCTTCGCGGAGGTGGCCTGGGACTTCCTTAGCGAAGTGTCTAGAATCCGATCAATATATGAGCGTTAGCTTCATACAGGGTGTGGTTCTTGCTGGTTCTGCATAAGTAGAGCCGAGTAGATCATCCTATCATCTTCAGAAGTCGTGTCACGAAATCTGGTGATAAGAATCTCATTGATCGTTCTAGATCTATTAATGCCAAGAACATACGCCTTTGGCGTTTGAACTGTTATGGCTTTATGGTAGGCTGTGTCCACATACTGTGGCACCGCAGCAATCGAGTCGATCGGAGGTAAGGTGATGGCGTCTGCCTCGTCTTCCTTTATCAGGTATGTCTGCGCCGAGTTGCCACTCTTGGAAGGTGAAGAGAGATCTAGGTTGTTTACCATCCAATATCGTATCTCAGCGTCTGAGAAAATGATGTCTCCATCATTTTCTATCCCAGCATCGCTTATGAGATGTTGATGCTCTTCTGATGGTGGACTGTGTATTTCTATCTCTATGTCGGGTGACGCTCGGGGAGAGCTGACTGTAGACTTGTGTGCAGACTTGTGTGGTGACCTGTGAGACGATCGACGTGGTGATGTACGAGAAGATCGGCGCGGTTAACGGCGCGGAGATCGTGTTGGTGATCTGCGTCTATGGGTTGACCTTCTCGGAGACCTGTGAGGAGAATGTTGATAGCTTCGCGAAGCTCTTGTGTAGTCAGGTGTCCTTCGCGAAGGCCTTCGCGAAGCTTCCTCTGCGTCCGGTCCTGGGGAACGGCGATTTGACCTTCGCGAAGGCTTCCGTGAGGTCTGATGGTCTGAGTCCGCATCTAAGGATGAAGCCGAGGAAGGTGATGATCTATCCCGCCTTCGCGAAGGCTGTACATCTGGGTCCTTCGTGGAGGTGGTCTGCGACTTCCTTCGCGAAGGTGGCTTCGTCGTGGCTGTTACGCTGATGGGGGTGCCTCTGGGGTGTCGTCTGCGTTGGAACCTTCGCGAAGGCTCAGGCCTTGGGCTGGCTGCTTCCCAGTCTGTAGTGGCCCTCCATCATGATCATGATTTGCCGCAACAGTTCATCTGGGATGGTCTGCGACGAATTAGTCGGTGCCCTCTCTGCGATGTTAGCGGCGGGGCCCTCAGGGAAGTCGTCTGACGTCAGTGTAGAGACCTCAGGCTGCATGGCGATCTCTGCTGATGTCACTGTAGCTGTCTCCGGTCGCTTCTTGTGGCGTGCGTCGCCGGGGATGATGATCGGCTGATCATCGTAGAGGCCCAGTTCAGCGGCTGGAACAATCTCGGTTGAGAAAGTCCTAATAGACTTCGTTGATTTCCCCTCAGAGGTCGACGCTGCCCTGGGGGTGCGAAGTCTGCGTTGCCTGTTGTCGACATCGGTCATTCTTTTGATGTACATCAGGTATGATGATCGGCTGATCATCATACAGGCCCAAATCTGCGACGGGAACAATCTCGGCTGAGAAAGTTCAAGTAGACTTCGTTGATTTCCCCTCAGAGGTCGCGTTGAGATGCAGTAGAAACCCTCTAGTCTTCGCTGCGCGACGATGGGATGTCTGGGGAAGCAGGACGCTTCTTAGAGGCGGCGGACTCACGTCCCACGCCTCTCCACCACTCTAGCGGAACACCAGACGGGAGGGGGTCGACCAACAGCAGTAGACTGGCGAGGGGTTCAGGTGTATCAGTCATGGCTAGACTCTGCATACGCGACCTATCTGCTGCGCGTCTCAAACGCAAAGTAATTATTTATTAAAGGTAGAATTGATAAATTAGTATCGCAACTGCAACGTGAATCACATGAAACATGGCGCAGTACAGCTAGGGCATATTAAATGCGGATCAGCAGCAGAATAAAAAACGTAATGTGCAACAGTACAGAATTTTTATCAACGTAATCCACTGAAACAGCACGGCGTCCCGTGCATAAACAGTAGAAACACGACTAAATATCAATATATAATTGTTGAAAGATACTAGCTAAACCTCTATAGATCTCTATACGAGGTAACTAACTAAATATAATCAAAGGATATAGTGTGTCGGGAGACACAGGCGCTCTCACGTCCAGCTCACTGGGCGAAGAAGGAGAGAGTGAGGCACATGGGTAGAGGTGGCGCCCTCGTTCCCACGCTTGTGGAAGGGAGGTAACTCGTGGTGTACTAATTAGTGATTTTACATTGAAGGGAACTTCAATTAGGGAGATACAAGTGTTCCACTATGTTCGCAAGAGGAAGGAGACAAGCAAAAGAGCATGAGTCAGGATAAGGAAAAATAATAACACATACGGATGTCACTTCCATGACAGACTCAGCTAGTTGGATTCAAAGTCCAGCTTATGAAGCGTACAGGGTGAGATATATATGATAATCCATTCATATATGAATTCGAATGTTCAATATTGTTACACAATGAACCAAGATTTCTGTTCCCAATAAAACGTAGATCTTTTATACTTTGTATTTAGGGTTGGCTGAATTTTTTTTCATATAGAAATTTGTAATCTCTGTTAACACTCCACTTGTTGTGACACCTACGCTGGAAATGAGTTACTACTCTGAAGCTATGTCACGGTAAACTTTCTATATTACAATGCTTGGATATATTCACTTCTTTGCAAAAATAAATTTGGGTTACTTGTTATTAGCTGTGACAAGCTCTGTGGCTGATTAAGACAGCAAGTAAATGTTCTGTTAGTTTGCTCTGCTGTCATGACGTACACTTATTTGAGACATACAAGCATATATGGTGTAAAGAATGTCCGACAGAGCATGCTTGGTACACACATTGTTTAGTCACATGCTCAGAGTAAGTTGTGGGAGAGTCTCACGTAACAACCAAGAGATACCCAGAAACAGCCAGCCTACAATGGTCCATTATCAGTCAGCTGCCATTGAGACGATCAATTCTTCACTGGAACTCGTCGTCAGAACTCAGAAGGGTTGTCTTTTCATTAAATCGGTTCTTGTTGGGCGTGGCTGTGGTTTGCTGCCCAGGTTGGGGAGGGGCGGCATTTCCGTTCTGTTGGGGTCGTCCACGCTGGTAAGGGTCATGTGGCCAGGCGCCCGATTCGTTGAACTCATCCTCCTTGGGTGGCTTCATGCCGTGTTGGGTGTACTGCTGGTACTGGGGGTGGAAGTTGTGGATGGCGTCCTGCATGATGTCCCGGGGGTTCATGGTTTCCTTCAGGCTGGAGGAGATGCTCTGGAGGGACACCGTGCGGCCGTGGGTGGCTGCAGGGGCAGAGCTGTAGATGCTGTGTGGGAAGGCGGAGCGCAGGGCGATGGCAGCCATGAACATCTCCGCACAGATGAGGAAGTTTTGCCATCCGGCAGACACCGTACCCACTCCCACTTTCAGCTGGTTGCCTTCAGCAAAGATTGGACTGATCACTTCCGTCTTCTCAAGGATAGCCAGGACAACACCTGTAGGTACATTGAATGGCAGCGTCAACATACGTGCAAATATATTGAATAAATCGGAGACTGAATGTAGTCATGCACAGCTCTCAACAATACTTGAGCTACACTCTTTAAACAATAGCAGACAAACTACTAATCAATAGAGATCCAGGAAGTGAGTAAATACTGTTTGCTATGCTGTACTGCATGCCGCTCTATACAAAATAGAGTCCAGGACAGACAGACTGACTCCATGATCTTCAACTAAATGCTGTTACATGAGACCTGAGCAATGGTGATTGCAATCATAACTTTCTGAGGCCCAATGGATGAGAAAATACAAAGGACTAACAGTTCATGGGTTTCCAATCAGCTGCAAGAATGTATTCGCATTGTCTTACCCTGCCAGAAGGACAAGAAGATGACAGACTTGATGATGCAGAACTTGAGGATTGGCTCGTATGGGCTGAGAAGCTCCTTGGTTGCATTGTAGAACAGGATGAGGCCGTACAGCGCCAGGGACACAGAGATGTTGTAGATGATGGTGATGTACAGGTACCCACCACCATGTCTGCAAAACAGAATAGCTTATCTACACAGGATCGTGGCATTTCCTTAGCAAACACACACATTTCACATAAGTTAATGGGATCTGTGGATTTATTTCAGGGCCATGGTCAAAGGTCTGGAAACTGTACGGAAAGAAATGAATTTCATGATGATTTCCGATTACTTTCAATATCAACTGTAATATACATAATGTTTCTACAAAGCCTATGCTTTGGTCTATCTTACAAAGCACAAGATGACAAAAGTAATGTCCCTTTCCCTAGGCTCAGATCCATCTGCAAAGAACAACTATTGGAATTGCATACATCAAGCACTAAATTTCACTGATAATTTACAAAAATCTTTATCTGCAGAGTATGGAAGATTAACTCACGAGAAGTTTCCGTCCTTGTACAGACTGAAGGCCTGCAGGATTAGAGTCAGGACGGCCATCACTGGTTTGATGATGCAGAACTGGAGAGTGGCCTGTCAATACAAAACATTGTACCAACTTTACGGATGTGCTTGGTACGATAACATGAGTGAACATATCCACAGTAATAAGTCTATCATCATCTGCTAGCCTCAAATCACAGTAAACTATGGTGATAACAAACTCACAGATACAACAAACTGATGCCTTTTTCCCTCGGCCCCTTGCTGTATGTTAAAATTAAAATGAATATTATGCATGATTATTTACTGTAGTTAGCTACTTGATCTGTTTTCATGTCAATTGTACATGCCAGTTTAGATCACAAAATGAAAAGTAGAAACTATACTACGTGCAAGCCACAGAGGGCATCGACTTGGTTCAGGTGAGGTGAGGTGAAATTGGGTTTGACGTTGTGCTTGAGAATATTTCGCTCATATGATGACATGCATGCGTGTGTATGTGTATGTGCGGCTGCTTGTACTAGCCCAGACTGAAGCTGGTTTTATAGTGCTAGCCCACTGAGATACCATGCCGCAGTGAAGCATGAATACCCCACTCAGACACATTATACTGACTCCGAACCGACCAGTCCTTGTTGTACCCATTAATGCCGAGCGCCAGGCAGGGACCAACAAGTACCATATTTTAACGTCTTTTGGTATGATGCGGTCGAGGATCGAACCCGCGACCTTCCGCTCTCCGGGCGGACGCTCTAACCACTACACCACGGAGGCGGTCTCGACTTGGTTCAGATATACACAAGGACAAAATTAACACATGATTTTTAACTCCTATATAACCATATATATTTCTATCATAATGATGTTTGTTTGAATGATTAGTTTGACCTTTTGGGCGCACCATGCACTGACTTTAGATATGCATATGTTACAACCAAAAGGGAGTATCACATGCAATAGGTTTACCTGTCATTAAGCAAATATTAAGTTTTAGTAAACTGGTCTTACAGCTTGATAACTAGGAACAAATCAATTTAATTTGTTTTTGCCAAGCAAGTATGGAGCAGAGATGTCATGTTATTGGTATGTGGAATGCTAGCATGTCATAGAGGGTTATTCCAAGAGATATCATCAGACAAAAAGCAGCAATGACATTAACGACTATCAGCGATCAGTTCGACCACGAATGACAGCTCTGAGAGAGGATACAGTTCTTCTCAGAATCCTAAAACTTCATCCATTCATGTCAAGAGATGTCTTAAAAACAGAGTTGCTTCCAAATCTTTGTTTGTCTGAAATTGCCTAAAATCGGTCTGGTATAGACTCTAGAGCCAGATGTCCTATCAGACGTCCGTTGTTATCCCCATAGAACAAAGCAGCCTAACTAGCTTGGTGTCAAACTCATCATTGGAATGTGAAGCTATGGGGAAGGGTTTACTAGTCGGATGAATGATTTCTTTTGTTCATGACAGATGGCCAATTTTGCTTAGTCAGTTTAAAATAAGATAAATTGAAGTTTGGATAAGTTCCTTGCAATGGTGTGGCAAACTTTTTTTTCTTGTGTATACAACATACAGATTCCAAACAGTTACTGTAAACGTATTATATATCGCACAGGTTTTATTTTCGCGCTTTTCACGCAAAATATTTTACCGTGAAAATTTATACACAGCGAATAAACCTTTCATTCATTCACTCAAGCTTGAAGACAGAAATCTACGGGAATCTTAAAATGACGACTGATAGTAGCATAAAGAATCACACTTAACTGTCGCTGTAATGGATTTCCCAAATCATGTCCCGACATGTTCTATTTTGACCAATCATACTGACAGATGGTTTGATACAAAACGGATTACCATAAAACGACTAGGAAAGAAATAATACAGCAGTATTTTATTTATTCATTAAGATTTTATTTATATTTATTCCTGCATATCATGAAATGAAATCAGAAAGTCTGGAAGTCCAGGTGTCTTAGGGGTAGGTGCTTTCTTTAACCACCAGGGTTCGATCTTTACGCTCGCCCGCAAGCCCGAGACGAGTAAAAATTTAGTCGGGCGTATGGAAACAAACTTGCACTAGTCCTTCAGACTACTAGTTTTTTCAGTGATTATTCATCAAATACTGCAATTGAGATCATCCATTTTCAACTCTCCCCACCAGACTAGTGAATCCAATGTTGCAGAACTCCAAGATAACATCTACATCGTGTCAATTTATTCAAAACATCTTAGTGGTCCCTTGCTATACCTCTCGTGTTAGGTTGGAAAGAGCGTGCAAAACTGACAATTTTAGATATCCATGTTCACACCTTCTGTTCCTTACAACTGGCCTCGATAGAGCATAACTATCTGATAAATCAATGCCTCGCACCAAATCCCCCCCTCCCCCAACAGTTGGCCTCTTATTACATGCAGCAGGTCCACATCAAAGTTGTCAAAGAGCTAAGTAACGATGTTTCAAGGAAATCATTAAACAAATTGAATAAACTAAAAAATAAAAACAACAACAGTATTCATAAAAGTTGTCAAACGTATGTTATAAGTTACTATTTCCACCTTTTATGCGCGATCGTGCAGTGCAAGTAAAAATGAAATTCTAAAAGAAAACGTTAAGGGACTATTATGTCACGTTACAAACATTTGTTTCCTTCATCATGATTTGTCATTATAAATGTGTAAGCTTGCATTTTCATTTAAATTTAACTGATATAAAATGTAGTTTTATTATTTGAATAATATGATAAAAAAATACTTTCATATTTATAAACAGTAGGATTAGACCTTTCAAATGGTGTATGACATGTAGTAGCAATAGAGAATCTCACCCAAGTGTCTTCTGATACCAATTATATCAACACGAGTTGATAAAGTTACAAATATCCGAGGCTTGCCGAGGATATTTAACTTTTATCAATGAGTGTTGATATATTTGATATCAGAAGACACGAGGGTGAGATTCTATTTATCATCCAAAATCACCCTTCATTAGTTTTCAATGAAAAATGTACATCTCTGAACACAGTACTGCCATTAGGCTTGCAGTGAAGCGATGTCATAGCATTGTGAACTCATCAAGTTCATGACATCATAGCATTGTCAGGGCATTGTACAAAATCTACTGTCAAAGCGATATCTCCTAGGAGATATCGTTTGATCTCACACAAACAATATCTCCTGTGGAACACAGTTTGGGATGATAAATAATGTTTTACAATCTGATATTTTCCTTGATAAACATAGGCCTCATCTCTGACCTCAGAGTCTCTGGGAACTCATAGCAGTAAAAAACTGGTGTTGAAAGAGTTATGAGTAACTTAAATCTCTTATTACATACAACAATAAAGCAATGAAAGTTAATTTCATTATCAATGGAGAACTTGTTTTGTTTGTGGGCTAGTGATAGTTGAAGGTTACTAGCCCAAAGGGTTAGTGGCACTTAACCCTGAACCACATTTGCAATGCCATTGTCAGATCATCAGAATTCGGAACATAAGACTGATGTGTTTTTCATCTCTTTATATAGTATCCTAGTACCATCATGATATCTCAGCTGGCATTTCCGGCAAGTACTGATTGTCGAATAATTGACATGTAGTCTAAACTGTCAATTCCGCAAGATTTGCACCAAGTGCAAAAGTATGTTTACGGTACATCAAACAGCTTCCACTTTCAATGACAATGACAACTGCCAATGATAAGACATGATAACTATGTCACTATGATTGTCTTTCCATGCTCACCTGCTTGCAGAACCTGAGGAAACCGATTGTGTACTGCCGGCCAGCCAGACAACAGGTACACCACAGCCAGCTGGACCTGTGGAGGGGAGGCAACTCTTACAGTACAAACACACCACGCACACTCTGGATCTCGCTCAGGGCATTTTAAAATTCTCTTCATAACATGAAATAATGACTTCTTTGAGTGTAATTTTTAGAAGTTGGAGAGTCAGATAAGGACAAACTTTATGGATGAACAATTTCGTTGTTTATCCACAAAGTTGTCCTTGTAGGAAATGATGAGCAAAGCTTTAAAATCTCTTACATAAATTCATTTAGGTGTTCAAAATCGATCGAAACGTGTTGGAATGAATTAGATGATCCCAAAACATGTCAAGCTTACCTGATGGGCTTTCCTCTAATTTCTGACATAATGGCCCCTTCACCTCCCAGGTACTCATAGCATAGACTCAGGAAGCTGTATATCACAAATGCTGCAATGACAGTAAACAGTTGTTACACACCGAAACATGCATACTTTGTCATAATCAAATACTGTACCTTAAATTTTGTTGGAAATCTCACACTGTTTGCAAGCTTTCCTACTTGAATAGGGGCAGTGGGGTAGCCTAATGGTTAAAGCGTCTGATTGTCATGCTGAAGACCCGGGTTCAATTCCCCACATGGGTACACTGTGTGAAGCCCATTTCTGGTGTCCCCCATGGTGATATTGCTGGAATATTGCTAAAACCAAACTCACTCACTCTCTCAATCCTATTTGAATAGTTGCAACTACCTAGACCTTTGTAGAAGTTGGGAACAAAATTTCTTTGCAATGATGACTAAATTTTTTTGACATTGTGGCCTACCAAATTTGAATGAGTAGTGGAGACATCTAACTAGTGACTTGGACATGACAGCATTACATATGTACTGACAGGGGTGGGGTAGCCTGAGTTAGATTCTCCACATGGGTACAGAGCCGTGATATTGCTGGAATATTGCTAAAAGCAACGTAAACCCATATTCACTTGATTACTGACATGTACATCTACTTTTGCTTTTAATGTATCAGGTAACATAGACATATTCAAATAAACTTGTCACAAGGTTCTGAAGCTCGTATCCAACATCCTAAATACTTGTCAAGTTTCTCACCCTTGAATACATACAGTCTCTAAATAGCTGGTACAGTGGTGATGCTTTGTTATTAAAGGTATCTCATGAAATGACACTGTATAACCCACACAGGTCAAATCAGTCTGTCTCACTGTCCCTGAACCACATTATTTTCCCTTATACCCAGCCCTCCCTGCAATGCTAAAGCCCTAAATGAAGCAAGTCTAGATCCCGATTCACAAGGGCTCCTTTTCCATTTATTTGTTACTATCAATATTATATATATTCAGGGACTAAGCGTTAGTCTAAGGTCAAATCAGCCCAGCTGTGAATGAACCTTGTGGGATCCCAACCACTGCTGAACATTGAAGCAATGTGTAGAAACAACCATCACAAGGTCAGGACACATGTTCCACATCTGGTCAAGCATGAAACAATGCCATTTGAACCACCTGGTCTTCAGTGGACAGAGAACTGTTGCTTGAAACAGGGCTTCATACCTTGGTCAAGATGACACTAACTTGTATTTGTCCACAGAGTGAGTGAGTTTAGTTTTATGCCACTCTCAACAATATTCCAGCTATATGGTGACAGTCTGTAAATAATCGAGTTTTGACCAGACAATCCAGTGATCAACAGCATGAGCATCGATCTACGTAATTGGGATATGATGACATGTGTCAACCAAGTCAGTTAGCCTTATCACCTGATACTGTTAGATAACTCTTACAACACGCATGGGTCACTGAAGATCAATTCTAACCCGGATGTTCACAGGTCTATAACCACAGAAGATAAAAATACTAATACAAGCTGATATTGATCATGATTGACGTACAACACTATTGCTCGAGTTGATCATCGTTGAAAAAGACATATTCAATGCATTTCGTCCAAATGACCTGATTTCTCAAGACAAGATAGCATTTCTCATTTAAAAATAAGTAACAGAACCTCTCTTTTTATACAGTAGTATTTTGTTAGGAAATTAACATAGAGATTGGCAGACATTTGGGAAAGTAACATGTAATCTCTCCTTGGGGAATTTCATGAGAAAGAGATAGAACTCTCAGCCATAAAATACTAACAGAGGACTTATTTACCTTCATAGCAATCTCGGATACTGTCAAAGTAGACATAGTAACTGTCATTGTTGAAGAACATGAGACTGAGAAATGAGTCGAAGGAGTAGATGGGCACGATGAACAACACACGCACGATCCATCGCTGCTCATTGGGGCATGTGTAGTAGCGGAGATGAAGGTATATCTGAAATGAACAAAAGGATGAAAATCATAACCAATAATAGTCAATCTACAGTGAAGGTTCACTGTATCGAACATGGGTACATCAACATATTGTTCAAGACAATATAACTTAAGATGAAGGTACTGGTGTAATTAGGGATGTCACGATATACATAACTTTCATGAATCGATACGCATCACGATACCCATGTCACGATTCGATACGTATCACGATACCTATTTTCGTGGCATTATTGCATAAATTTTGTTACATTTTGAACATTAATATTTCATATTTTATAATTGTCCATGAAAAGATCAACATTTTTTATTAAAAGTTTTAATTTCCCATCTTTGTGCATGAAAAATAGTCATTTATAACTATCATAATATCAAAAAGTATGATACAATTGTAAAATGTAAACGGTACATAAACATATTTAAACCGATACTTTCAAAACTAAATATCGATACAGTTTTGAATGCATCGATAATTGTATCGTCTTAGAAGTATCAATGTATCGTGACATCCCCAGGTGTAATCCTGTTTTATCACTTGCTTATTCCTTGTTTGTAGAAGCATCATAATTCTGACACACATGTATACATCGAGGTCCTCAATGTCAAAACAGCCTGGACCAATGCATCCATTCTTACAATTCTAACCTTGGAGGTCTAGACAAGTCAATTATAATTCAATTAAACCTGGAACATCGGCGTAGTTTTGAGAGGCTAACCTACTTATACTATGCCTTCAAACTATTCATCATAATTCAATTAAACCTGGGACAATGTATTATTTTTGAGAGGCTAACCTATGGTGCCTTCTAACTATTCACTGACAAACTCACAAAGAGTTGCACTGAGAGAATGCATCCATTCTTACAATTCTGTCTTGGATGTCAAGGCAACTCGAATATAATTCAATTAAACCTGGAACAATGGCTTAGTTGGAGTGTCAAACCTACTTATACTACACCTTGAAACTATTCATAGACAAATCACAAACATTTGCACTGCATTGTATATTATATGAAGATCTTGTCTAAATATTTCCATATTGACACAAGATGTCATGCTAGCTCTTATAACCACACAGAAAAACACCAAACTATTGATCGTTAACACCATTGCTTATAACCATATCTGTCTAACCTGATTCATCAAACACAAAGAATCATTCAAAACCAACACAGGATGGATGACACCAAATCTACAACCTTTCCACATTTATTATTTCCAAGAGATAATTCAGGTCATGTCTGTCATTTACGAGTCTTCTCTGTAATTCAGACCAAAGCTTCATCAACAGCGCCATCTACTGTGATGGAATCCCAGACCAACCACTAAAGAGACACTTCTCAAGCCAGGGTCATTAGCCTGTTCTCACCAGCCTTTCAAAACAGACGATGTTTATATTTTTATGGTCACAGACTGTTGAGGAATTTCAGCTCTTTAATCAATACAGATTAGATGTAGTGTTAGCAGCTGGGTAAGAGAATTCTAGCTTCTGGCTGCCAGGCAGCAGCCCGGTATCAAAGCCCACGGTATCAAAGCCCACGGCCATTCTTGTATTCCTTGGTCTGAAACTTGACTGAATTCACTGCCATGCTTCCTGAAACATGGATCTCTTGCCATTGCCAACTTTTTTATCTCCTTATGGATATTTGGGAGCTGAGTTTCTACCAAAGGTTTCTATTCCATGGTTCGTGCTGTAACGTGTCGGGATGTATCAGAGGTAATAGTGATATATGAACTCACTTCTGGCGTAATGTTCAAATAGCGCTGGGTAGACTTCTAGCACAGATTTTATATCCCACACGGTACACTAATAACAGAATAATAGCTCTGGCAATGTTTCCTCAAAGTGATCTTTGTACTGAGGCTATTGTAAGTACCATTGTTTAACACTAACTTACAACAGTTGCAGTGATACAGATGTCTTGTGGAACTGGACAAATACATTTATTGTGATCCTAGGATAAAATCGATCCCTGGGGCCTCATGCTTAAGGACTCCCGTGGAAAAACAAGAGTCATCAGGATATGTCATATTATCCCATCAGGCTGATGTTTATACCCCGTCTTTCAGTCACTGCCATTGGTTAAACCACAAAAATCCCCAAGCATTAAAAAGGACCTGTTCACCACTACACTGACCTCGATAGCAAGTTACAACTAGATATATTCACTCACCTAAAGTTCAGTTCTGGAAACAGCTGATGAACAGTGAACAGACTGACATGATGTATGTTATACTCCCACCATTTTTCAATCCTGGGTTAATAATGAATTGGTCTTGGGTACAGTAACTGTGAGACTGACACCCAGATCTTGTTTACTGATGCCTCCTCTCGGCCTGTATTCATTGGCCAACAGACTTTTCTAATCTTCAGAACAAGAAACAACAGAAAAAGTTGGGAGTCTTCAATTCTACTGAACAAGTTGTTATCAGTGCCTAGATTTTCAAAACATTCATAGCCCTGAGAATTCTTACCTCTGATCGTAGCTAATGTGTTTAGAATGGGCTTAGGAGTTCGTAGGGCTATGAACATTTAGAAAATCTAGGCCCATATCTAAATCATTGTTAACCATATGTTTAAAATTACAAACCCTACACTTGGCATAAGGAGAAAACAAGTGAAGGGTGGTTGGTTAATGGAGTCATCATTTGTTGGCAGCCTGGGATACTCAATATCAGTCACTGGTTTATCTGGTCCAGATTCAATCATGCAGCCACCAGATGGCTGAACATTGCTGTGTTTGGTCTTAACTTACAGACAGTGATGATCTGCGTGATTACCAACAGCCTGAAGTGATGTTGCTCGTTTACTACAAGGCCTGGCGTAAATACATTCTGATTCACCCTCCATAGTTCCAGAACAAAGCTGTACCAATCTAGCTCTTGATAAAAAGAACAGTTCCTAATAATTTTCATGAACAGAAGTCCTGAATTAATTTCCAAAATATGTCACCATCTTTACAACTTTAAATGAATTCTATATCTTACCATAGTCTCCTCATATATTATTTGCATGTCATCATACCACATGATTTCTAAAAAATTGTTATAATGTACATCATTTATGTGTGAAATGTATCTATATTTCTTGTACCTACTTTGTAAATATTTGTAGCTTATAGAATATTGCCACTGTTTCTTCATGGAATGCTATGCAATAAATATCTTATCTGATCTTATTGTTAAACCCATTCACACCACTCCACAAGTGATATTTCTGGTGTTTTGCTAAACCTGGTGTAAGCCCCATCATTATAGTATTAGCTGGACCTCCTCCAGCTATCTGCGAAACATCATAACGGTTTACTAGGGTAGCCGAAACATGGTTGCCTGTGATGACACTCAATTCATCTCTCAGTCCAGGTTCTGTTTTCTTGAGACCAAAAATGTGCTTTTACAATATACAAGCACCTGTAGAAATCTCTATATATTACAGACATATATGTCTGCAATACATGACTAGGATGTTGAAAACTTTGTGCCAACACAGATTTTAACATTAATTAACCCGCCTCTTAGCATTAATTAACCTGCCTCTTAGCATTAATTAATGTACATTTGTGTGTTGTTATATGGTTTATATTAGCTGAGCTAACTAGACCTGGGCTTCGGACTAGACTGGCTGAGTAATGTACATCCAGCTGTGTTTCGAGAAATTACCACACTAACTCTAATAACAAAGCCCAACTACGATTATAATCTACTATTGTTATGTAGAAGTGTAATTCGTTGAATTAGCTACACCAAAGCCCCCACTGAACGTTAGGATTTGAATTTTTATACAACAACATAATGGTATGAGTGTTGTAATTGTTCTCCATTGTATCAGGTATGAGTCATTAGAAGGCAGTGGTGAGATAGTTACTTTATTTAGACTGGGTATCAAGAGTAATCTGGAAGCTTCTAGAACAGCAGAAATAATGTGCATGTGCATGTTAATTGTGTAACATTTCTTTAAGCTACAATGCACATATTTCTAGCTGACTTATAGCCACAACTCCAATCCAATGTAACACTATTGAAGAGTGTCATAGTTTGCTTGCAATATTTATAGTAATTTCTATTCCGATAGCAGTATAAAGCCTACTTATGACTAAATCATGGAACGGTCAAAACACATTCACAAAAACTACATCACTGCTTATCGAAGAGGGTGATTTTTTTCCCTTTTAATCTTTCTTCAACGTTTCAGTATTTGATGTGACCTTTCAAATCAAGTTGACAAATGAGACGGCTCTAAGAACAATAATACAGTAGAAGTTTCTTTTTTTCCGAGTCACAAGCAAGCAAAAGATAAGAAGGTTGCAGGTTGCAAGAGATTAGTTGGTTGGGGAAGGAAACACACATATGTGCATGCATTATCAGGTGCACAATATAACTCAAACACCAGTACTTGTCCCACATGTCTGGCAGGTTTACAGGTGTTGTACAGGAAGTAACAGTGGGTGTCAAACATGCTCTGGGCTCCAGGTCGGACAGGCTGAATGAACAGTGGCTGTGTCATTGTGACAACCTTGGCAGGCAACAGATAAAACACAAGTTCCTATGGATTGTCCATACTACAAACACAGACATCATAATGGCTTCACACGATAGAAAGAATTTGTTTGAAACATGCACAGTTACACAAAGCCAATTGGGAAAATGCTCGTCCCGGGTTGTTTAGACTACTGGTAATGTTATAAGAGACTCCTGCAGAATCAACTCAAGGCAACTCTCACACCACACTCTACTGTAGACTTAAAATGTACTGTTAAGAACTTGCAGTGAGCATCAGAACTATATACATCCAATCCATCCTTGTTTCTAGAACTCAGAATTCTGGCCCCAAGAATGTTTCCTGAACTGATTACCGACGGTCCATGTGAAACCCAACACAAAGCTACTTACTGATCATGAAAGACAAGTTCAAATCCAATCCATTTAATATCATTTTCATTCCCACAGGCTGCTACACAACACAATTTTTACATTTCCTTATTTGATAATCTGAATCTAAAT